AATATAAGTATAACTATGTATAAATGTATAATTAAAAAATATATATATATTAATGTTAAAAAAAAATAATTAACAATAAAAGAAATTAATAAAGACTTACCTTAAAATATTAGACCACATTTCCACGGGAAGCGCCGTTAACTGGAAGCAAGATGCAGCGATCACTGGCAATAAACGAAACATTTCGAACACTACGTAATAATAACACTTAATCACTTCAAAGCACAAACTGAACTGACTACAGTGCGCAGATTCCGCTGTTATATACGCTAGTTTACGCGGCAAATCACTTACCAAAAGCGCGCGCAGAATGTAACAACACGTCATCCATATAGGTGACAATATCAAACAAAGTTCGCGCGCTGTGTAACGTCAAATTAACTGCATTAGGCTCCAATATATCAAAGCGCGGATTATACAACAACATGTCACCAATATGCGAATCAATGCAGGGTATATATCAGGACATTGTTTATTATATTCTTCATCTTATAATCTGATGCAGACAAGGCTGTAAGTAGTAGAGAATATTAGTTTCATACAGATGTAAAAATAAATACTGAGTGAAAGTATTAATTTTCAAAATGCAGGATTTTTGCGTCAAACAATGTAAATTAGCTTTGGTAAATAGTGTGCAAATTAGAAGTAAATACACATTTTTTTGCGGTTTTTCAGACATGCCCAAGGATTTTTAACAATATTTGAAGTTTTATGTAAGTTTGAATTTAATTTTTTCTGTTAAAATCGTCAAGTTTATTTTTTAAAGTTATAAGTATAACTATTATATACATATTTCTAGTGTACATACTAAAATCATATTTGCATATTTATATGCTTATTATAATATGCAATATATAATAGAGATATTTTCATAACTGAGATTAAAAAACCATTTAACTACACCAAATTTATTTTATTTCTTGCTAACTTGTTCGAACAGTTAATTACCTATTTACGTACTCTACAAATTATGTCCATAAATTGCCAAGCTATTTATTTAAGCAACTTGCTTTAGATTTGACCATCATGTTCTCTTGGTTGTCAAATTTTCGCTTTAATTTGAATTTGACACTGTAATTATGTCTTCACCTTTTCTATCCACATCCAAAGTTTAAAGGTAGATAGGTACATTCTTTCTCATTTGATTTGTTTTTTTTTCTATTAAATTCACGACAAACAACTTTTCATCCTGTTTTTAAATTTCTCTGAAACAAATTTATGCACATGTTTCGCAAACCCAAAATTTGAGTCTAATGCTCATGAACTTAATAGACATAATATCTTAGACATAATATCAAAAATATTATGTCTAAGAAAGAATGTATTACAAAATAATGTCATTATTTGAAAATGTCTTTGAAGTTATCACTAGAAAGATCTTATAAACACTATAGATTAAAATTTTCACTCGAAAATATTAAAAAACATAATGTTTTTTGTCATTTAAGATTTGATCTCGTCAATAAAATACACATTACAGAATAAAATCATATTCAAAAAATATAAACCTAAACGCCAAATTAGTTTTTCATAATCTTCTGTAGTTCTTAAAAAGACTAAAATTTTATTATACAAAAAATATTTATTACAAATTTAAACTTAACTTAAATTCTACAATTAAAAACTTTCTTAACAGCGGATAGACATTGGTTTTTCTTTTTATTTTCTGTTTTCATCGGCTTTTTCTTGAGTACCTCCAAGCTGTGTTTTAAATTTACAGGTTTCCTGGTAATCTTCTTGGAAACATTAGCTGCAAATACTCTCTTGCTATCTTCCCTGGAAATAGTTATTGATTTTGACGGATTCCGGATAATTTCTTCGGCCTGACGTCTTTCAATCTCCAAAGCATCCCGGAGATTATTTCTTAACACGCTGTCACCAAGACAAATACTCTTGAATCTGGGATCTGATCTAGCAGTTGCCAATAAAGACAATGGATCCAACAATCTGAAATATAAAAAAGAATATAAGTATAACTATAAATGTATAATTAAAAAATATATATTAATGTTAAAAAAATAAACAATAAAAGAAATTAATAAACACTTACCTTAAAATAGTAGACCACATCTCCACTGGAAGCGCTGTCAACTGGAAACAGGATGCAGCGATCACTGGCAATAAACGAAACATTTCGAACACTACGTAATAATAACACTTAATCACTTTAAAGCACAAACTGAACTGACTACAGCGCTCAGATCCCGCTGTTATATATGCTTGTTTACGCGGCAAATCACTTACCAAAAGCGCGCGCAGAATGTAACACCACGTCATCCATATAGGCGACAACATTAACAAAACTGCGCGCGCAATGTAACGTCAGTTTAACTGCATTTTGCACCAATATACAAAGCGCGGATTATATTGTATAGTTTATCCAGACATCTTTTTTTTTAACATAAACACGCCTCCTAATGCTAAAAGAGACCGGCTCTCGAATCCAGCTTGTCAGATATATTTCCTAAAATTAGTATTATGTTATGACAATGTTCTCTCTACTTTAGTAAAATAATTAACTAAGTAGGTACTTAATATCGTAGTGAAGTCTTCACTAAATGAATTAAGTAACTTTGAAATTATTACTTATACATAAAGAAATTTTAGAGTATCGGCAACATTGTATTCTGGATAGATTTAAGTAGCCAGTTTTAAATCGAATTTGTCATATTGATGGTTTTACCGTTAATACTCTTGGATATGATTTTTCATTGATTCTCACAAATTAATGAGACTTTGAGATTATCGGTGAAATTGAAAAATGTAAATAAAGGTTTTTTGTTAGCCCTCGGGATATAGGTCCGTGGAAGTCTATTTTGGAAATAAAATATTGGGCAGGTTATTTTTAGCGCGTTTTTTGCAATCAGAACTTTTTTCCTGTTGTTAAAAAATACTCCATAATGAACGGAAAATATTTTTTTATTTTTAAATTCAAAATGGTGACGAATATAACGCAGATCTTCCATTTTTTACAGTTCAAGTATATCTTGAGATCTAATAATTATTGTTAAATTCAACAGGATTATGTAGAAAAGACCATTAACTAGAACATTTTTGAACAGTTTTTTAGGCGTTATGTATTTTGGTTGCCTACTTTTAAGGAATCAAAGACAGACAACTTTTAATAACCCAATTTCTCAAAAACAGCTTCAAAAATTTTATTTTTTTAATTTCAGTAATTTTATAGCTCAGATGAAAAAATAAAAAGTTGAAAATATATTGACATAGTATTAAAGTGGCCACATACTACTGTACATAATAAAGCAGATATATTTAATTAAAAAAAAATGCCGTTTCATTACCACCGAAGCAAATTAACTTAGACATATTTCAAATACATTGTTTAAAAAAAGCAATTTCATGAAAACGATGGACATAGAATGGCCTATATAACAATATTTATTTTGGCCTATATACAAAAATTATTTATTAGAAACTATAACTTAAATTCTACAATTAAAAACTTTCTTAACAGCGGATAGACATTGGTTTTTCTTTTTATTTTCTGTTTTCATCGGTTTTTTCTTAAGTACCTCCAAACTGTGTTTTAAATTTACAGGTTTCCTGGTGATTTTCTTGGCAACATTGGATGCAAATACTCTTTTGCTATCCTCCCTGGAAATAGTTATTGATTTTGAAGGATTCCGGATAATTTCTTCGGCCTGACGTCTTTCAATGTCCAAAGCATCCCGGAGATTATTTCTTAACACGCTGTCACCAAGACAAATACTCTTGAACCTGGGATCTGATCTTGCAGTTGCCAATAAAGACAATGGATCCAACAATCTGAAATATGAAAAAGTATATCAGTATACAGATTAAAAGTATAATTAAAAAAATATATCAATATAATAAAAAAAAAATAAACATTAAAAGAAATTAATAAACACTTACCTTAAAATAGTAGACCACATCTCCACTGGAAGCGCTGTCAACTGAAAACAGGATGCAGCGATCACTGGCAATAAACGAAACATTTCGAACACTACGTAATAATAACACTTAATCACTTTAAAGCACAAACTGAACTGACTACAGCGCTCAGATCCCGCTGTTATATATGCTAGTTTAGGCGGCAAATCACTTACCAAAAGCGCGCGCAGAATGTAACACCACGTCATCCATATAGGCGACAACATTAACAAAAGTGCGCGCGCAGCGTAACGTCAGTTTAACTGCATTTTGCACCAATATACAAAGCGCGGATTATACTGTATAGTTTATCCAGACATTTGTTTTTTAACATAAACACGCCTCCTAATACTCAAAGAGACTGGCTTTCGAATCAAGCTTGTCATATATATTTCCTAAAATTAGTATTATATTATGACAATGTTTTCTCTACTTTAGTATTCAGCTATTAGTCAATAACATTCTTAGAAAGAAAATAGTTTTAAGAAATATATAAATTAATTAGCTAGGAAGGTTCTTAATATTGTAATGAAGTCTTAACTAATGAATTAAGCAACGTTGAAATTATTACTTATACATAAAGAAATTTTGGAGTATCGGCAACATTCTAGTCTGAAGTAAATTAAGTAGCCAGTTTTAAATCTACGTTGCCATATTGATGGTCTTAGCGTTAATACCCTTGGATACGATTTCTCATTGCTTCTCACAAATGAAAGCCAGAGATTATCGGTGAAATTGAAAAATTTAAATGATTATTTGTTAGCACTCGGCTTTTTAGGATGTCTATTTTAGAAATAAAATATTAGGATATTACAAAATAGTCATGATTTGAAAACATCTTTGCAGTTTATCTCTAAAGAGTTCTTATTATAAAAACTAGAGATTAAAATTTTCTTTATTACAAAAATTAAAAAATATATAGATATTTTGATCAATTAAGATTTGATGTCGTGAATAAAATACACATTATAAAGTAAATTCCTATCCGAAAATCGCTTCCAACTAAAGTTTTTCATAATCTGTAGTTTATTCTTAAAAAGACTAAAATATAATTTTATTATACAAAAATTATTTATTAGAAACTAAACTTAAATTCTACAATTAAAAACTTTCTTAACAGCGGATAGACATTGGTTTTTCTTTTTATTTTCTGTTTTCATCGGTTTTTTCTTAAGTACCTCCAAACTTTGTTTTAAATTTACAGGTTTCCTGGTGATTTTCTTGGCAACATTGGCTGCAAAGACTCTTTTTCTATCCTCCCTGGAAATAGTTATTGATTTTGAAGGATTCCGGATAATTTCTTCGGCCTGACGTCTTTCAATGTCCAAAGCATCCCGGAGATTATTTCTTAACACGCTGTCACCAAGACAAATACTCTTGAACCTGGGATCTGATCTTGCAGTTGCCAATAAAGACAATGGATCCAACAATCTGAAATATGAAAAAGTATATCAGTATACAGATTAAAAGTATAATTAAATAAATATATCAATATAACAACAAAAAATAAACATTAAAAGAAATTAATAAAGACTTACCTTAAAATATTAGACCACATTTCCACGGGAAGCGCCGTCAACTGGAAGCAGGATGCAGCTATCACTGGCAATAAACGAAACATTTCGAACACTACGTAACAATATCACTTAATCACTTCAAAGCACAAACTGAACTGACTACAGCGCGCAGATTCCGCTGTTATATACGCTAGTTTACGCGGCAAATTACTTAACAAAAGCGCGCGCAGAATGTAACACCCCGTCATTCATACAGGTGACAACATCAACAAAAGTGCGCGCGCTTTGTAACGCCAAATTAAGTGGATGGTGCTACAATATAACTAAGCGAGGATTATACAACAATACGTCACCAATATGGCGAATCAATGCAGAGTATATCAGGACATTTTTATTAGATTCTTCATCTTATAACCTGATATAGACAAGCATGTAAGTGATTAAATTTATTGTACTAATTACGATACTAGCTAGGTACGTGTAATTTTACCAGCAATTATTTTTAACGTAGGGGAAGCAAAATGTATTAGTTTAATTGTTTTTTTGTGTTTTGGAAGTACTCGAGTTATTCGTTCTCTTTTCTAATTTTAACAGTTCCTCCTTTTAACAGTTACTAGTTTCTGATTTTAGTGTCAATATTCTGGTGTATTTTGAATTCTTTATGTGCACAGGATATTCGGACTGCGCAAAACTTGTGTCTTTTTCAATTTCAGCGGGGGCACAGTGAGGCATGAAATCTCCAAATTGAGGTTCAGTCAATTTTTTAGGTTAGCGATTTAAGTGGTTTTTTCGATTATCTCAAGAAAAGCTTGCGAGCAAAATTAGAGAATAAGTCCAAATTGATCCACAGGACTTTCATTTGAGAGACATCTGCCATTTGACTTTGAGCAACGACTGTTTATTTTACTCTAAGTATGGTATTTTATTAAACCTTCTTGATAGGAGATTTTGAAAACATCGAAATATACAGGGTTTTCCATTAAAAATAAAGATGATGGACTCCGCTAAACTTGCGCGATTGACCCTTTTCATTTAAATCTATGTTTAAAAAGCCCCTCTTTGAATTTAAAAGTTGACGTGTCCAGCGTGTTTTATAATAAATAGTTATTTTAGGTAATTATAATTTACTAAAATAAGGAAACAAACAATTGTATTCCATAAGTGTTTTCGACACTGTATAATTTCAACCAGTAATATTCATAATAGACTACATAATATAGTTCGTTGAGATTAGATTGTTAAGAAGCTTTTGAACATAAAAATATACTGGGTGTTCCAATAAAAATAAAGCTTTTGGACTATGCTAGGCTTGCATGAGTCACCTTGTACATTCAAATTTATGGTTAAAAAGCGTTTATTTGAAGTCAATTCTGTACCGATACCCAGAGCCTGTTGAATTATGAAAGCTATCAAAATTACGTGCATTTAGTTGCATGGAAAAAAGTGTTATACATATATAATATTTATACATCGACAATGAAATCGCGCCCTGAAGCTTTAATATTGGAAATAGTTAAACAGACGCTTCTACCAGCGGAGTAGGTTAAGCTTCTGTGTACAAAATTATTAGGGAAGAGAAATATAAAGAATTAATGAATACGAGAAAAGAGGAAAGAGAAAAACAAATGAACGGAGTACTGTGGGATAGACAGATTACGAGAAATACAAAGAGGAGAATTTATAACACCTTGGTACGCAGTATAATCACCTATGGAGCAGTGAATTGGGTAATAAATAAACGAAACAGGTCCAAAATCACAGCAACTGAAATGGAGTTCATGAGAACAAGCTGCAGAGTGACAAAAATAGATCGCATCAGAAATGAGGAGATAAAACGAAGAATGGCAGTAGAACAAGACATACTCAGCTACAACGAAGAAAAGCGTTTAATTTGTAGTAATAGGTAGACCCCGAAGATCATGGAGGGATGAAGTGGACGAGGCCATGGAAAGACGAGACCTTAGAGATGGAGAATGGGAGATGGGAAAAAATCCTTATATAGATAGATAGATAGAAAAATAAAGAAGGATTTTCTTCACCGAAACAGAACAAGCCCAGAAAAACTATTCTGCACAAAATGGACGATTTTGATAAAACTGCTATACAATGAATTGTATATAAATCATACCGTAACACATATGCTTAGTACCTCGCGTTTTTAACAGTTGACATCCCTAATTCTTGGCCATTTTTTCCTCAAGCAGCCATATATCATCACATTAGGAAAAAAATTAGCTTGAATTTGATATAAAAACATGCATATACGTCATGAACAGCGTATTTTATTTAAAAAATAAATAAACGAGACAAAATATCTGTCAAAAATTAATTACTATTAATTGAATTAAAAATATTTGTGGCCTCTATTTGAATGGCAACCTATTATCAATGCATTCTCGTAATTTAAAAATATGTGTTTGATAAACTACTTTATGAACGTAGTAATCCTGCAATGGGATCTTGCGGTGCAATGAGAACAAATTCGGAGGAGAAATGGAACTTTCTTACCTGCAATATTTATCTTGAATTTTGTGCGTTCTTGGAAGAGACCTATTCAATTTTTGATCGCACGCTTTCGTAATTTTTGGATATGTTGAAATTTTGTTCTCGAAATCATCATCAACCTTATTTTGATTCTTCTTTAGAGATCCTAAGCGTTTTCCAAAACACGAACTACTACTATTATTCTTTTCACTGGAAGATGACGTACGCGTTTTGGAACTGGAAGAGGAAATGTCTGATTGTTCTTCGTAGTTTCTAGGACGGATTGGAACTTCACCTGCAATATTTTAAACATTTAAAATAGTTTTTTCGTCGATATGTATTTTACATATCTTATATATCTCTTGTCTCTGGACACTCTTATTGCTTTTAAAAGAACCAAGATCACATTTGTCACATTTTTAAATGACTGAGAAATATATATATATATATATATATATATATATATATATATATATATATATATATTCCCAAACACTCACCATAAACTACATCGGGTTTCGCCAACTGCATATTCCTATTAACTTCTTCAAAAATGTGATGTGGATTCATTTTTCTCTCTTCTGTTTGTCGTATCATCAGTTGTTCGAGAGTTACAAACCCCGCCAAGCTCTCACTCGCCATTTTGAACTGACTTTTATTGCAATTTGAGGAAGCGTAATCGGAACTGACATTACAAAGACTTGGATTGCTAGCGTGCATGTAGTTTACTGGTTTAGGCCTAAAAAAATATTAATTTAAACAAATGCTATTTAAACTTTGATGGTACACAAGGCAAATATCGAACACAGTATTTAATTAAATCTTGCCCAAGTACTTTCGATCACAAGATCATCCTCAGGGGCATTTCGTCAATTGTGGCCTATCCAGCAATAACCAAATGTCATATACAGTATAGGTAAAAGTTTATGGTCGGTATGGACCTTACATGAGATGGAGTGAGAAACAACTGTTTAAAAAGAGAGAGAGATATTAGGTGTCCGCCTTTTATATCACCGAACATAAATGAGTGGATATGGAGTGGATATAATAAAAAGGGGAAATTCAACGTTGCCAAACTTATTGGTTTTATTTGACCTGTTGTCTTTTTCGCATTTGAACAATGCTCCAAGATAATGAAATTTGGGCGAAATGGATTTAAATGGCAGCTTATTGTTTTTTATTGGGAATATGCCACAATTTTACTTTACAATAAGTGTTATATAACATTTTGATTTATACTTCGGAAATCGTTTTATATAAATAAAATTTATTAATGTTTGGTATTTTAAAAACGATTTCCGAATTAAAAATCTAAACATCAAAATAAGCTTATTTTAAAGTGACAATATGCCTTATTTCCAATAAAAATATTAAACTGCATATAAATAAAAAAGGTTCGTACAAAACTATTTGCCAACGTGGCGTGTCGCGTGGTCAAATCACCGAATCAAAGGGTAAACAGGTATTTACGAATAGAGGTGGGTCATTGACGTCGCAAAACCGATTTTCGTAAACAAGTAGGTAACTATGATTTTTTAATAGTAGTTTCAAGTAAGAAACTACCTACATAAACAAACATAATGGCTATTATCGTTTATCTGTATATTTATTGAAGTGAAGGAAACTAATAAAAGATTTTATTATAACTTGAAAACTAAACTAAACAATACAAATAGTAAATCGTACCTACGTTTACATTACACGATATTATTTAATCACGAATCGTCTAAATTGACATTTAAAAACATAAGTTTTTTTACTTTACTTCTTATTAATTGTGTTTTTCTTTTATTTAAAATTAAACCTGATTTTGAACATGTGTTCACATTTACAATACTTTATGAATATAGTGGTTAAGTTAGGAGATACATGGCGATGGTTTTTCCACCATTGTAATGGACTCTCGCTACAGGTGTACGTTTAGATGAGTCATGTCCAATTAATTGATCAAAAATACACCATGGACTTAAGTCATCTTTATCGGTTTCTTTTTCTTATACTGGTTGATTTTCAATAGTACAATCTTCTTGTTCTTTAATTATAGAAGTAACCAGCTTCTTAACTCTTTCTTTTGTTTTTTTAGCGTCATTTTTATCAGAAAATCCCTGCAATTTAAATCGTGAATCCATAAACGTACATAATGACAATATGCCACTGTATTCTATCCCTCTAAATCTTTTTGCTAAACCCGAGATTAGTAATTATCCCGTAATTAGTAATAAAAACCCGTACTGCGTCGCATACTAACTATGGATGTAAGGTTACTGTTTGCTAAAATTTTATTGCAAGATTTTTGCAGGCAGCGTACCAGAACAATCACTGAACTATCATTCAAGTATTTTTGGCCACTCATTGTACTTGTTATTTCTTTAAAAGGCCGTAAAATTTAGGACAATTACGAAAAAATAATCCAGTCTTCATTATTTAGATTTGGTCTAAGTCTAAGTCTGTATTAACTGATACCAATGTGGAACGGATTGCCTCTTCTAACTCCGTCATTCTTTCTAACATGTAATAGGTGAAGTTCTACCTAGTTTCCACGTCTTGGATTGGCCATTTGGGATCTTTGTTATGTTGTAATTGATACTTTAAAAGCGTTTCTGAAGATAAGGTACTTTTTTGAAATGTGTTTTTTGCTGAATTGTCGAAAAAAAGACTTTTTATTTTATCTATTTGTACACGACAGCATTTAAGTGCGTCCTCCATCAATAAATTTAACGTATGAGCAAAACAATTTAAATGTTTTCATTCCAAAACATATTTAATAGCTATGACCATATTTGAGGCATTATCAGTTACTGCAAAATTTACTTTTTGTTTTAGACCCCACTGAATAATAATTTCACTAATTTTAAAAGCGATGTTTTCTGAATTATGGTTTCCAGAAAAATGGCAGCAGTCTAATTAAACCGTGTTAAACTCTAAATTTTCGGTTAAATTCGTTAAAATCAACTAGTTGATGGTTGAAGCTGGTTACTTCTATAAAAAAAGAAAAAGAACATTATACTATTGAAAATTGACTAGTACAAGAAAAAGAAACTGATAAAGATGACTTAAGTCCATGTAAATGTAAGTACTATTTGTATTGTTTAATTTATTTTTCAAGTTATAATAAATATATTCTTCGTTAGTTTCTTTCACTTCAATACTTATACACATAAACGATAATAGCCAATATGTTTGTGTACTCGGTAATTTGAATACTGGTAAACAATCAACTAGTTACAGTTTACGAAAAACGGTTCCGATAAAAATTTAAAAAACTAAAGGACCCACCTCTAGTTTCTTAGCTTTATGAGGATCGGAACCACAGAATATGTAAAATATCTCTGATCGGAACTAATCGTCTCACTAACAGGCAAAATGGGCGTCAAGAAGATTTATGGAGGGGAGACCGAGGGGGAGTATGATTGTTATCTTTGTCTATTCGCTGAAAATATGATTTTATATCTGTGTTAGATATCCTGTTAAGTTTTACCATACCGACCATAAAATTTTACCTACACTGTATGTAAACTGGGACATAACAAATACACTAAAGACAAACAAACACTTTAAAATTTAAATTTGGAGAAGCTACATTTTTATATTATAGAAGCCGGAGACAGAATTACAGACAGAATGATTCTGTCTCCGGCTTCTATAATATAAAAATGTAGCTTCTCCAAATTTAAATTTTAAAGTGTTTGTTTGTCTTTAGTGTATTTGTTATGTCCCATTTTACATATATGACATTTGGTTATTGCTGGATAGGCCACAATTGACGAAATGCCCCTGAGGATGATCTTGTGATCGAAAGTACTTGGGCAAGATTTAATTAAATACTGTGTTCGATATTTGCCTTGTGTACCATCAAAGTTCATTTATTCGAACATTCAACCTTATATTGATTTAAATGCTATTTAATATAACAACATATTGATCCTTTTAGCCGGATAGCAAGGATATGACTAAAGAAATCAAGACGTTAATATAATTTGGCCACTTAGCTAGAAATAGTGCTACATCGAGAGTTCTAGTGAGCTCCCAAAATTAACGAGACGCAGGTGTAAAGCATGTGCCATGAACAAGTCAAGCACTTCTAAAGTCATACTTTTAACAATAAACTGAATACTCACCTGCATTTTGGAAGTTCCCGGCAAAGTTCGGGCCTAATACTTTCCATCGACAGATTAGGAACACTAACATTTTGTGGATTGGCAAGATTTTGAGACCCAAATAACTGAACGTGAGAGGTAAAATTACCTGTGGTAACACTGGATTGACTGTCATTTGTGCGGATCTTTCTGTAAGATCTGAAATAACAAAAACATAAAATGTTACAAAATAATCAACAGAAGGTATTTTTTTTGCTTTGCGCTTTAAGAATGAAGTAGTAAATTGATCAAACCCTTAAATGGTTAAATTGAAATCAACCACATGGTAAGTAAAAAAATGTACGATTTTAAAAAGTTAACTTTAAAATGCTTTTATAAAACTCACTTTCATTCTATTATTGTGTGCTATCCTGTAAGAACCAGTTAAATTCATGTATAATTGTTATATCTACGTTATTACAGTTAGCTTTTCATCACTGGATTTTTGAATTATTTAGTTTTTAATGTTTAAGAGTTTAAGATCCTTTTTTTATGATAAATAAGGTTAAATTTAAGATTTTACTAATTTTTATATTAAATAAATATTCAATTATTGTTTTAAATCTCTATCAAAATTTGGTGCTTTGTAATCTGCGTTAAATTTTTTATTATGGCTTTTATCAATCACTATTACTCCTACAGTGAACTATATAGTAAAGTGTGTAGTACTGGCGTGATCTAACTAAAACGAAAACTCCAAATACTGCGACGAAAGGTCGATATAGTACTTTTTTTTATATATTTATATGAAGATCAAGAAGAGAATAAGAGAGATCCTAATCTTATAGCTGTGGGAGATTGTTGCAGAGCACAAGCAATGAAATTTAAACTTGTAATATTAAGGTAAACTCAAAGGAGCAGTCGAAATTTAATGCCTATTTCAGTCTTACAATCAGACCTCATTTACGTCATAGTCCATCATCATTTCCGCTAACATCATTCCAACTAATAAAATGGAATTTTTGTCTGCAAAGTGTATCGGGAGATCAAAGATCATTTTTAAATGTTCTTCTTCTTTGACTTTATAAGCAATTCTGCTTGTTCATTGGCGGATTAATACCTCTATGGAAGGTTATTACTCCATCTTTTGCGCGGTCGTCCGATACTTATTCTCCCGATTGGTAACTTATCTCTTCGTTCGGCTCGTGGAGATAAGAATACGGCCGAGGCCAGAAGACCCTGTCTGTCGAAGATACCCGATTGAGACATGAGGCTATGTAAGCTTGACAGCCGCCATCTTAAAAAATGAGCCAGAACCAGCTTTATATATCTACTACTATTGACCTTGATGGTGGGGTATATATGCAGTGTAAACACCAAAAGTGGTCGACATCTTGAGTCTTTACTTTTGCCAACAACATAAAGTTGTTGAAATAGGATTTGAAAATTCCGCTAGCTGCCTTCCTCATCTCAATAATCACGAAACAAATTAATATAAAGTTAAATAAACATCGATGGACTAAAGCTTCAGATCCGGTCATAAAGGTGACATAGTTAAAAACGATGAGGTTGTCAGAATAATACTATTTTTAGTAATAGACAGATATACTTACCGAAACTGGGCTGTAGGTACTGGTACGGAATCTTTCCTATGACTACTGGACTTATTAAAAAACCATTTCCTATCAAGACTGGTACTTCCATTGGGACTAGCATCTGAGCTGGATTTTTTCGAAGTAAATTTCTTCAGCGACCCAAATTTTTTCAGAGAATCCGATTTCTCTACGGGAATCTTTAGCCTTTCGGTATCCGACTCGTCGGTTTCTGAATAAAGACTAGATTCCTGGTTTTTCTGATTATCATTTACTAGTGTAGCTGTTTTAATTAAGTCTATCCATGATTGGAGCGTGTCTGGATCTTCGGCCGAGAAATAGAATACCGTACCTGTGTGATATACTTTAAAGGAATGTGATCTGGATTTAACCTAAAATATAATAGAATTAATTCACAAATTGTTATAATTCACAAAAATGCGGTATTTTCAATAATATAATGGCCGCTTTAGAGGATGTACGTGAATCAACTAGTGACAATGAAACAGGGCCGTGCGCAAGTCTGTCAGAATAGCACTAACGTGTAGCGGTAACTAACATCTGGCGAAACGGCACTTACTGAATGCCGAGCTTATTATACAAAAAATATTTTATATTATATATATTATATACAGTGTGTCCATCAATGGGTGCCCAAGAGAATACCGTAAATCAGAAAGTATATTTGAATCTGTCGAGTAATACAGGGTAAGATCGTCGGAAGGAGAGGCCCAGGCCGACGAAGAACATCCTGGCTCTGAAATCTCCGAGAATGGTATCAAGAAACCACCGCTAATTTATTTAGAGTCGCCGTAAATAAAGTTATTATTGCCAACATGATCGCCAACGTTCGATAATCGGACAGGGTACTGAAAGAAGAAGAAGAATCAGTCAAAACCTGCAAGCTTTTTTTCCTTGTTGAAAGTAGATTAAATATGTAATTCTTCCGCTAATCTGAATGCCATTTCTCTAACTCCAGCTCTTGTAGGTGCAAAACCAGCTTTCTGCAACTTTAGGATATGTTTCTATATTTTATTTTCATTTTCTTCGCCGAGAACACTACTTGCTCCTAATGCACTGTTTTTTTAATTGTTATTTTTCATTCTTTTTCTTAATGTAGGTGCTGGTACTTTAAAATTCCTGTCGGCAACATTGACCCCCATTTGTCCACTTCTTACCGCATGTATGGCTGATTCGAGTTGATATTCAGTCCATAAACCACGTTGGCAATTTCCTTTTCTGTTATGTTTCGTTGGCATGGCTGAAAATAAATTTATCTACTATAAGTAACTAAAGAGCTAAGCCATATCTCCCTAACATTTGCCAGCCAACTAACCCGAATTGTCAGGGTGAGATGGCTCACTTAATTTCCGTGTGTTGGTAACGTTTAAAAGGACTGGCAACTATGCCTATGCCATCAAAACGTGACTTCGATAAAATACAGACAAAAATAAGTGCACAATAGTTTTGACGATTACCGAAAAAAGTTTTAAGAAGATGTAAATAAGAATTTATAATTATCTTACCTTTCAATCTTTTGAAAAACACGGAAACAACAGAGTATTGCTAATACCATACGCTCGCATCACACAACGCAATGCAACTGACTCCAAATAGGATAAAACTGTGATATATTGGACAGAGTCATCTCACCCGACGAGCCATCTCTCCCGGACTTACCCTATGTCACAAGCATTATAGGTTTTAAATGATTATGTACAAATAATTACCAAAATTCGAATTTGACATTGTTTCTTTAATTGTAACGACAATTAAAGCATAAAAATACTTACTTCACTGGCCAAGGCAACTGTAAACCCTGACAGAAAAATAAGGCAAGCGGCTTTGGGATCTTCTTTCGCTTTAAAGCCGTACAAACAACTTCCCAACAATACAAACCATCTCTTCTCCCAGTGCACATTCTGGTTATGTTTACCTCTTAATCGTTGAAATAAATATCCTTGAATATCCGCTGGGCTAAGATCGTTTACAGTAACTTTTCTTCTTTCTAAAATACCGGAGAATAATTTTAGATGCAAATGACAAAATCAGAGAAACAGGTGCAAAGACAATGTACAGGGTTTTTTGTCAGTCTACGTTGAAACAAGGGGAAAATTGAGACAAGATGAAGTTCTATCTTATCTGCTGTTTCATGAACACAGAAGCTTCTAGAACAGTTGAAAATGATACCCGAAGTCTTCAATCGGTTAGTGCAGCTGTCTAACCTTGCGAAATATACTAACTTGTTCTATTAATTTGTTGATTGCTCTGTTTATTTTACATAAACAAAGATTCAAACAGAAATCTGAACAATAAGACTTTTCATCGGCCGCCATGTTTTTCGTACAGTTTTGATCAATGACGTATAACATAATATTATACGTCATACGTCATTTTGGTATGTGTCATTATTGTTTTGAACTAATGGGTGGTTAGTGAAAATTGTATTGATTGAATGGATAGATGAAAGGGAATCTGAACAAATGGCAATATGTCTTTTTTAATGAGAGATGCATTTAAAAGCCAATAGAATACTATATACTGCATGTTAAGGGTAACCGAGGTGATCGTACAAGTTTATGTTTAGTGGTTAAGGAACAGCAACCACCAGTGGTGGTTTTAGAAGCATCAGTATGGAGAATTAAATCATATAAGAATGTTAGAAGATTTATGTTTGTTAAAGATGGTGAATGAGGTGTGTATTGAAGGAATATTTTTAGGCCAGGAGGAAAATAAAGGAAGATGAAATTAACTGCTCAGAAAGACGTCAATATTTTAGTGAAAGAAAACGGCATTGTGGGAATAAGAATGAATGGGATAAAAGGGGTTTGCGGATGTTGATGCAGCCTATGGAAGTAGAAGAGATTGTAGTCTTAAGGTGATAGGAGGTTTATTGGATTCATGGTACGTGCTTTCGAGATAACTAAAGCGAAAGGCACCAAGATTTAATAAATCTATGTTAGATCGAAAGGTAGAGGAATAGATAAAGCTATGACGACTTAGTGTTTTAAGAGCTTTTAAAACAATTGGTTTTAAGTTCAGAAATGTTATTCTTCCAATTTAACCTAGTGTCAAATATCAAACCGAGAATTTTACATTGATCGGGAAGGGAGATCTTTCTGGAAAATTTTATTAATTTGGTTTTGCTCCGAGAGAGTGATAATCCTAGTTCGTTAGATCTATATTGAATTAGATTTACTCCACTTTGTATAAGTTTGCATGTGGTGGGGACAGATTTACAACAAACATATTTGAAATAAAAGACTTGCAAATTTCTTGATTGCAAGAACGAATAGAGTGGAACTTAATACAGAACCTTGGGGGATACAAATCTTTGAGGAAAAGATTGAGAAAGTTGACTATTGGCAAGGACTTTAAAGGTTTTTTCCAGTCAAAAAATTGCCACCTAAATTATAGTATAAGTGTTTGTCGATTATTGCTTATTGGAGATTGAATCAAACGCCCCTTCAATGTCAAATATAGTTGCTATGACATGTTGTTGATTGTTGATTACTTGAGAAATGTGAGTTTAAAGAACAAGGTTGTCAAGAGTAGACCGATGACGGAAGCCTGATTGAGCGTCGGGAATAATATTGTGCTTTTCAAGGAACCAAGAGAGTCTTTTATTTAACATTTTTCAAGAAGTTTGCAGGTGGTGTTTAATAAATTGATTCTATTAATATTGGCAATATGCAAACCAATGACGAATGAGTTAGAAATGCATAACTTATTACATACAAATAGTTAAACAAAACATTTTCGGAGGGAATTAACAATCGCAACTAATAATGTTAAAAATTTTCGGTTTCGACATGCCACGGTAGTGTCATTATGCGTAAGCTTATAATTACCTTGTAGAATATTTTTTTAATGTTGGGGGTCCATGATGGAGGTTACAGACAATTTTAAGTACAAACATAAGTATGCATAATCTTCTTGAAGCAATATCAGTACAGGGTAACCATAGTCAAGTGCAAAGCTTGAGCTTTTTTTATACGTAAAAAAAAATTTGACTATGTAAAGTGCTAAGATTGATAATACAGAGAAAGATAAGAGGCAGAAGGATTATAGGAAAAAGGAGAGGTTTAGATGTAGTTCAATAGAACTCTTCAGATCTGCAGTAGAAAGAATAAAGATAGCGATGATAATATCTAACCTCGGATTGGGAGACGGCAATTAAAGAAGAAGCAGATAGTGCTAATAGCTCCATATTTTGCACTTTTTTTTTTCACAATTATTGATAAATAATAAACATTAAATTTTTATTTTCTATTTTCATTAATTTCGTAAATTAATATTATTAAATTATATTTGCTTTGTAGACGTAACAACAATGGAGAACTATTGTTTCATAAGAGGAGACTAGCAAACATTACTTACTTGCTGTTAAAGTGCTTTTTTTCTTTCCGGCCTTCTTCCCCGACATCAATCCCTTAACAATACTATTAGTAGGCGACACTTTAGTCTCGCTTGCGCTTTTTTGAATCTCATAACTGGGCGGTGTAGCCTTATAATATGCCGCATCACTTTCGTAGTCCATTCGGCCTTTCCCCGTAGGCGTAGACATCATCCTCGGCTCAAAATGCTTAGCTGAAACCTTCTCTTCTACAACGTTCCTTACCTCCATTTGACCGTAGTTGGTAGGAGGAGGAGGTTCAGGAAATTCAAACACTGGTTTTGATTGATGGAGTTCGTTTGGTGTTTTTGATAAGTTTAGCAGATTTTGTGGCTTTGGCGAATCTGCTGGGTAAGCTGGTTTTGGCAGGTCAGTCACGTTTCTTGGAGGCGGCTTCGGAGGAACTTCTGATACTTTAACCTAAAAAGTTTTTTGTAAAGACAATGATTTTACTTAGTAACTAGGCATTTACTCAACACTCGAATTATACAAATATTATTATTCCGCTAATAATAAGTAATAAGTAGTGGATGCTGTTAATTTTAATAAAAAAGAAATATATGTAGTGAGCTAAAATATAGCAAGTTTAACATGAAAAAACCTTCATGTTTCCCCTTCATCGTTATTTTTGACAATGTCCTCTCAATTTTAGAGCAAAATGGTTTTGCTCTATTACCGTGATATAAACGTGAATATTAATATATGCAGACGACTACTAAAGATAAGCTGGGTCAACAGAGTTAGAAAGACGGTTGAACCAAATCACACAACTGGTCAATATTATAAAAAGACGCAAGCTGGAATAATTTCCCAAGAAAAATATGAACTCTTACATCTCATCATTCAGGGAAAGATCTAAGGTAAACGTGGTCCTGATAGAAGAACATCATAGCTGAAAAATCTAAGAAAGTGGTACAGAAAATAGGCTACATCATGCCGCGCTATCGTCGTTTTATTAGTATCAGCTCTAACTTTTGGGCATGTTAAGGCATCTCTAATTAAAAATTCATTGAAGAATTTGCCCCCTGAATTTCTCACTGATAATGATAAACAAGAAAATGATGTTCCCTTAGCCCAGATTTTTAATAGGTTGAGGGGAACCAATGATACTCAAATACGTGAAGCAGAAGCTCCAGAATGGGCTGCTGGTGGTGCCGAAAGTGAGATACAAAGAGATGAAGAGTTAACTGATGAGGAGATTGTGCAAGCGGCTATTTGTGAGGAGATGAGCAAGGTAAGGACAAAAGCGTCGAAGTTCTCGCTTCCGAAAAAGTTGGTAATTCAAAGGCAGTAGGAGCTTTCAACACAGCTTTAAAATGGGCTGAAGAAAACGAATTTGATTGGCATGAAGTTATGTGTCTCCGTCGGCTTAGAGATCGGGCTTTTGAAATAAAGTGTACAATAATGGTTTATTTGGGGGGTAAAGGGGTAGAATGCGAAAACATGTAGTTGCTTCCAGTCCACTCCACTTAGCCTCTTCTATTCAAATCCAACTCTCACCTTCACGCTGGTGCCCCCTGTTAAACCGAGCAACGCAACTGGAGATCCGGTGAACTGGTCCTCCAGGTTGGGGGGTTGGGCGTAGGGTTAACAACCCCACACCGTAAAAAACAGCATGCTACAAGAGTTCAAGGTAAAGTTTCCGGACTGAAATCTAGACGACGACTCGGCGCGAAAAACGACAATGATTTAGGATTATTCTCATGGAATGTAAGATCTCTATACAGGCCAGGAGCCTGTATAGAGCCTCTCATTAACAAAATAGAAGTATATAAGAGCGATATAAATGCACATGAGACATGAGATGGTTGGGAAATAAAATATTAGAGAAAAAGAATTATACGATATACTATAGCTGCCATCCAACGGAAAACATATTAGGAACGGGATTCATAGACAATAAAAGAGTAAAGCACCTTATAAGCACCAACCTCTCAACGGAAAATTATGCACACTAAGAATCAGAAGTAAATTCTTTAAATATTCAATAATAAATGTCCATGCACCAACTGAGGAGAAGCCAGATGAAGAAAAAGAACAATTTTATGAACAACTGGAAAATATTATACAACATTGTCCTAGAAATGACGTCAAGGGTTTAATAGGAGATTTTAATGCAAAGATAGGTAAGAAGAGGGAATACATGCCAACCATTGGAATTCACAGTTTAAAAGAAGAGTCAAACAACAACGGAACTCGACTAATACACTTAGCCTCCTGAATGAACATGGTGATTGCCAGCACATGCTTCAAGCACAAAGATATACATAAGGAAACATGGAGAAGTCCAGATGGGAATACAGTAAACCAAATCGACCATGTTGTGGTTGACGCAAGACACTTCAGAGACGTGATAAACGTACGTGCAAGACGCGGGGCGAACATAGACTCGGACCATTACCTACTACAAACTAAACTAAGAGTTAAAATCTCCAATGCAAAGAAATAAAAAGGAGTTAAAGAGGAAAGGTTTAAAGTAGAAGCGTTGAAGAACCCTGAGATAGCTAAGAGATTCGAGGAAAGTCTCGAAAGCAAGCTGGAAGGCTGCACGGATGTTATAGTTGAAGATATTGTAGCGAGATTAAATAAAACGAGCGGTTCGAATTTATATAAATATATTTATTTATAACTTTACAGTTCGGTACTCTCTTATCAACAACTAACTCCTACACCGTTACATATATATACCAAAGTATTATTTTCGAGAATATTCGGGAGTAGTCCCACCTCTAATTCGTTATCTGAAGGGTGGAATTTTACAGCGCTTGATGTATCGCCGACACTTCTCGATGCTTCGAGATGTGACCGTAAGGCGGGCCACTTAGATGCGGTGAGCTGTTGAATGCATGTTCGTAACACTGCTCCCCTCTTAGATCTGAGCGTCCCGATCAGGAACTCTATCTATAGGCCCAGGATGGCGGAATCTACAGGACTCTCCAGCTCTGCATGAACCCCTCAGAAAGAAATAACAGTCTATTGTCTTTGAAGGACACGATCTCTTCGGATTAATGCAACACACAGTAATTCTTACACCGGTTTCTCGGAAGATCACTTCAAGCATGCTTCTGACAATCTTCCAATCCAGATTATCTAGGGCATGGCCTATCTTGGGTAAAGCCAAGTTCTTAATGTCGTAATTGCAGACGACTTTCTTCAAATTAGTCAGAGCTCGCCATATATCCTCGTAGCTTGCCCTGTCTGTATACGACTTTCTGGTCACCATATACAACAAAGATCGAGAACCATCTTCTAATCTCAGCACTCTTCCAACTTTAGGCTGCTGGTTTTTTAACTCGTCCAAGCGACCAAATTTCTTATAAAATACAGATGAGATTCCTTTAGTCATCTCAAGATCTTGGGCAACACAGTGGGCTAGAGAGACGTTATGCGGAACACTAAAAAGATCCTGCTGAACTTCTGTCGTCACGCCGAATCTAGCACTCTTTCTCTCTGCGTAATTTGACATAAACTCATTAAAACTTGGTCGCCGATTATCTTTGATCTCATGTTGAAGGGTTCGGACTTCTTCGGTTTCGTTTGAGCCAGCATAAGGTGCAAGACGATTTATGTGAACTACTTTTGGTTTACCTTTCGGCAACTTCTTAATTCGGTATATTACGTCATTTATTCTCTTTTTAATTTCATACGGACCCTCCCATTGTCTTTGCAGTTTAGGAGACAAGCCACGACGACGTTGTGGATTATAAAGCCAAACAAGATCACCTACTTCATAGCTTTCATTCTTGCATCGAGAATCATATTGATCTTTCATTCTGTCACTGGCTAACTGGATGTGCTGTCGGGCAAGTTCATGAATGTTGTTCATTCTTAACTTTAGGCGGTCGACATAATCTTCGCTTGCAACATATTCTTCAGAAGGTCTGCAGCCAAACTCTAGGTCGCAGGGCAAACGAACTTCACGACCTAACATCAGGCAGGTTGGAGTCTGGCCCGTAGTTTCATTCACGGCCGAGCGGTAGGCCATTAGGAATAAATGAATGTGCTGGTCCCAATCTCTTTGATGTTCTGATACAACTTTGGACAGATGTTTACCCATCGTTCGGTTCATTCTCTCGACCATTCCATCTGATTGAGGATGAAGGGGTGTCGTTCTGGTCTTATTGACACCAATCAATTTACAAACGTTTTGAAAAAGGTTTGACTCGAAGTTTCGCCCTTGGTCGGAGTGGATCTCCAAGGGAACACCAAATCGGCTAAAGAATTCTTTAACCAGTACCTCTGCAACGGTAGCAGCTTCTTGATTTGGTAGCGCATAGGCCTCAGTCCATTTCGTAAAATAATCCATGGCAACTAGGATATATTTATTTCCATCATTTGTCTCTGGAAGTGGACCTGCAATATCGATTGCTACTCGTTCCATAGGACTACCAACGTTGTACTGTTTCATGGGTGCCCTCTTTTTACCAACTGGACCATTACTGGTTGCACACAGTTCACATTTCCGGCACCATCTTCTTACATCATCTTTACAGTTCACCCAATAGAACCGTTCTCGAACCTTTTGCAGAGTCTTCGTAATACCAAAGTGTCCACCTGATGCACCGTCATGCAACTGACGTAATACTTCTGACACTTTACTTTTAGGTACAATCAACTGAAACTTAGTTTCTGTACCATCATCGTTCTCAAAGGTTCTATAAAGAAGATCATCTTTGAGCACTAGGCAATTCCATTGGCTCCAGTAACACTTGACTTCAGGACTACATGCACTAATGTCTTGCCAAGAAGGCCTTTCACTTCGATGCATCCAATCTAATACTCTCTTTATACATGGATCATCTGCTTGAGCGTCTTGCAGCTGTTGTGGCTGCCATTGATCATTAATGACGGTGGTTCGTCTCACAGGGCAAAGTCTTTCTTCTAATTTAAGACAGTGATTACAATGTTCACTGCACGGCCTTCTCGAAAGCGCATCAGCATTTAAATGAACTCTTCCAGCTCTGTGTTCGATCTCGTAATCATATTCTTGTAATCGTTCTAACCATCTTGCCATCTGACCCTCTGGATTACGGAATTGTAGGAGCCATTTTAGAGCAGCGTGATCCGTGCGAAGAAGAAACTTTCTGCCATACAAGTATTTATGAAAATGCTCGCAAGCCTTTACTACGCCTAGCAATTCTCTCCTGGTAACGCAATAGTTTCTTTCTGGTTTCGACAAGACTTTGCTAAAGTAAGCGATGACTTTCTCCTGCCCATCTTGGATTTGGGATAGAACAGCTCCTATTGCACTGTTGCTTGCATCGGTGTCCAACACAAATTTTCCTGCCTGTCTAGGGTAGCTTAAAATCGGTGCGCTGATCAGAGCCATTTGTAAGTGTTCGAAAGCTCTTTGGCACTCTTCGCTCCATGTATATTCTTTGCCTTCTTCTGTCAACTTTGTTAATGGCTTGGAGATGTTG